CAAACGTTTATATATTTGCAAAAATACTTTTGCTTTGTAAACATTCCGTGGATGAGGTTATTAAATAAATTATTTGTGGTTTATATGTACTTCTTCTGGCCGTGTCGTTGTTTTCGGCGGCAGAAAAATCAGTGGACGCAAAATCAAGCAATTTATATTGTATATGCATCCAGAAAATTAGCCAGTTTGGAGGGGAACCAATTTTAGGAATATTTTGTGCACTTTGGTTTCAAACATTTTCCGCACAGTTCATCTTTTCTAATCGAAAATGTGATGATTTTGCCTTCTTTCAGCATTCTCTAGCAAAAAGTCGTGATTTTTTGGAGAAAAATTAAAATTTCCGCAAAATACAGAAAAAATTTTTACTTTGGAAAAGTCCAATTTACTTTGGAACGCGTTATATAATATTCCGCTCAAAAATTCCACCTACAAAACCCTTCAGTTTTACTAAGCGAGATGCTCAAAAATCCAATTCCTCCAATTCAATGTTGCACAAAAGGAGTAAATTCATGCTAACTAATATATAGAATAAAAAGCCCCATGATATTCTAGCCATGAATATTTTATTCAAAGATAACAATGCAAACATACAGTATTGTTATATAGTTAGTGGCAAAGTTCAAAGTTCAATTGTTTGCCGATTGGTCAAAACCGTATCACGTATACAAGTCCACAAAACGTCATGTTCGCTGCATGCTTTGCCGAGGAGGCAACCGGGCCCACAATGAAACATTTATTGGCCGCTCAATAATAAAATGGGTGCAATGCGCATGCGTGTCAACCGTTCCAAAGTTTATTATTTAAACTTTTTATCAATTTAAACATTAACTTACGGCGTCCCATTTATCCAGTTTTGGTTTCAAATTAAGTTCACTCCAATAACCGGTGAATTATTCATACTTTGACACTTATATACTATATTACAAAACACTTATTTACTGAGACCTCGAGAAAGCAATGTGTTTTGTGGCTCCTCAACCGCCGTTGTTGCCCTCGGCCTCGCCTCGGGCAACAACGGCGGTCTCGGGTCCTCAAAACACACTAATTCCCTAGGTATCATCCCTAGGTATCAGTAAATAAGTGATAATATATGATTGTAGAACATATAATAATAATTTCAGGGTTTAGATCATAATGTCAAGTTAACAGTCATATATTTAATATGTAATCTAATCCCATGATTTTCAACATCTTAACAGCTTCTTTTCTCAACATTGTCTTGGTCCAAAAGAATATCAACGAGTTAGCACTGGAATTTGAGAGTTTAAGCGTAACTATCCAGATTGATATTGCTAGTTTGACATGTTTATCGAAGCCGCCAAAGAAAGGAAAAGCAATCGCTCCTGGAAACAAACACAGAACAAAAAAACAAACGACAATCATAAAACAAGACTTTGCTTGTTTAATTTCTCGGACAAATAACTTCATTCTTGTCAAGTTCTCCTCTGCAGCAACATCACATGGTTGCCAACTTTCGAATGACCAAGTATATTCTGGTGTAGGCGAACGCAGTGAAGAAGAAAAGGAGCGTCTCGACTAATGTTCCAAATATTTGTAACAATCTTGGGTTGAGAAAAGAGAAAATTATCACAGAAAACATCACCACAGCACCAGTAATCACGTATATCAACAGCCTCTAATTTTTTGTCACATGAGTACTGTAAGCATACGGATGTAAGATGGCAATGTATCTTTCCATTGTGAGAGCACATAATGTGACAATAGATAAACCATATGGTAAAAAAGATGATTTTAACGCCAAATTTTCTACAATGCAGTTTGAGACTCCTCCTACTCTGCTCGCCAGAGAGATGAGAATTAAAGGTATGCTCAAAACACCAACAGCCAAGTCAATGATGGACTGAACAAGAATGATGAAATAGCAAGGCTTGCTCTTTAGTTGAGAAGATTCTAAAATCGTTATTATCGCAATAGCATTGAGTAATATCGTTGGAATTATCAAAAGGCTGTTCAAAGTAATAGCAAAAATGTGATTGATTAATAGTTTTTCAGACGAAAATCCTGTCATAACGGAGTAGGTCGTTCCAAGAATGCTACATGACATTTCTAAAACTTCTTGCTCCACAGACAGGTTCATGATGGCTCTCAGGTTGATAATGGAGCGAAACGAAAAGTGCATCACCTTTCAAATTGCTCAAGTCTATATTGGTTGAACATTTCATGAATAGATTCAGTGCACAAATTCAACAATAATTTTACCTTAATCACCGTAAGATAATTTAGTATGCACTTATTGTTGGTACAGCTTTATTGTCATTCATAAGATGTTATTTTGGTAACTAATCTGAAGAGTACAGCTGGGAATTTAAGGTTGATTCGTTACTTACTGTATATAGTATAACTGAATGCATCGAATGACAATGAAAAGCATAAGTGAGAAATATAATTGCTCAATATTCACTAAAGCCAATATTCAAATCAATAGTCTACTCATGTATTACTGACCAATATAGTTTAAAAGATGATACCTTTTTCGTTTTGGCTTTATTGTTCAGTTCTCGCATCTTCTACAAAGCAGATTTTGAAATATCATGATTTTTGACACCGGAGTCGCAGGGCCGCAGGTTCAATTCCTGTCAGGGACCTAAAATTGAATTTTCGCTTCTATTTCTGGTTAGGTCTAATAAATGTATACAAATTTCAACTTGATAATTTCCATCTACAATGCACATCAAATTTTATTCTTTCGAGTGAGATGCTACAAAAATCGTGATATTTACACATATGGAACCATATATATCTTATATACACTAGATAGTGCATCTAATTATTCTGCAATTCAAAAATTGAAGCCGTGATTGCAGACTCAGGATATTCCCATGAAATGAGAAGATTCGTATGTTTTCTATTTCTTAAACAAGGAACTTAAACATTAAGTTAAACCTATTCCAAATATATTTTCAAACTATTCAAATGATGAAAGTTATTGTTGTTTTTTAAGCGTTTATTAGCGAGTGGGAAACTCCAACATGGCCGCCATCTATTCAAATGGGGGTAACCGCTGGAATATTCTTGGCTTCAATTTTACTAAAAGAGATGCGCTATCTAGTGTATATATAAGATATCTATGTATGGAACCTATTCATGGCAATACCCCAGCCTATATAACATTTCTAGTACATTCTCTAGAACATTTTCATCTTAACATATTACAGAGTGTACAATAACACAATTAACATAACACTATATATACATGCGCTTGTGGTTAGAGCTCGACAACTGATCTTTGTGGCTTAGTTGGTTGGAGCGCTGCACCTGCCAGAGACCTAAAGTTGCATTTTCGCTTCTGTTCCTGGTTAGGTCTAATATATATAAATTTCCACTAGACAATTTTCACCTACAATAGTCAATACCCATCAAATATTATTTATTCGAATGAGAGGTCACAAAAATCTTGATATTTACACATAACCTATACATGGAATTATACCCTAGTATATATACTGTACATGAGCTTGTGCATAGTTAGAGATCGACAACTGGCCTCTGTAGCTCAGTTGGTTGGAGCGCTGCACCGGAGTCGCAGGGCTGCAGGTTCAATTCCTGCCAGTGACCTTAAGTTGCATTTGTTGCTTCTGTTCCTGGTTAGGTCTAATAAATGTATACAAATTCCACTCGACAATTTCCATCTACAATACCTGTTTTTGAAATATCATGTCATATTCTTCACATTACGTATTTTGTTATAACCAGATTCCATCTGGAAAATCTTTTATCATTCACATCTTCGCCATTGCTTTGTATAGTATTGTGATAATTCCTGCAACATTACAACGCTGTTGCAATTACGATTTAAACTCTTCCCAACTGCATGAGCAGCAAACCCTGTTATTCTATCATTTTTGTACAGTCTGTGATTGCCTTCGCAGTTTGTGTTTTTGAGCATTCCTCTAATTCTTTTATTTCCGGCAAACGAGAAGTTTCAAGTTTCATTGCTATTAGATTGACCTGAACCAAATATTCATCCTTATTATATATAGTTTACCGCAGTTAAAATTCAGATCGATTATAATCATCCAATGTTAATATCATAGATATCTTATATAGATTAGATAGCGCATCTCTTTTAGTAAAATTGAAGCCAAGAATATTCCAGCGGTTACCCCATTTGAATAGATGGCGGCCATGTGGAGTTTCCCACTTGCTAATAGACGCTTAAAAACAATAACTTTCATCATTTGAATAGTTTGAAAATGTATTTGGAATAGGTTTAACTTGATGTTTAAATTCCCTGTTTAAGAAATACGAGTCTTCTCATTGCATGGGAATATCATGAGTCTGCAATCATACACGGCTTCAATTTTTGAATTGCAGAATAATTAGATGCACTATCTAGTGTATATAAGATATCTATGGTTAATATCCAATATAAATAAACAACGTCACGAGTTTGATTTACCTCCTTATATAGCTGTTTTTCTTGTGAAATTTTCGTCCTTGCATTTTCTTGTGCTGTGTATAGTAGTGTATATATTACTAATTCACGATTTTTGACTTGCTGTTCATTAGATGGATTTAATGCGGGAATGGGATATCAGTTCTGTCCAATCCTTCAATCATATCGTTTTTATCTGTGAAATAAGAATGCAAAATAATAAAAAAAATGATACTGTGTTTTCCACGCCTTAGTTCTATATTAATATGGAATTTCAAGCAATAAAATTACACGATCAAGTAAAATATTGAATTTCATGTCTCTTTAAAAATTTGTACTAAAATATATTTTGGATATTCTAAGTATTTCTTCGATTCAGCTGCTTATATATTATTTTCTGTTCCGATTTCCGACACACCACCCGTCTTGTCCTGTATTAGACTGCCCTCCCATTATTCTCAAGCACTGCTGTTCAGTTCGCATGCTTAGCATAATTAAATTTCACAAAATAACAACGAGGGCAGTTTTAAGAGCAAATGCAATCTAGAAAATTACCTTCCATTAAGCATGAAATTAAAGTTAATAGTTCAGTCTGTTGATGCTGTTAATGTTCCGCTAGTATATAATAAGCGACGTGGATATCGACTAATTTAAAAGCCAACACTCTCTTTCTCTTGGTGTTGTTATCGTTCGCGTCATCTACAAGAAAGGAAGCAAAATGAATCTGTCAGTGGTACAAAAAGAGTTTGAGATATCATGCCAAATTTTGGGAACAACTCATTTCATTATAATCAAACTTCCATCTAATAACTTGTTAATAAATCATATTTTCGCTATCGCTTTGAATGGTATTTTGATCATTCCTACGATATTACTCAACGCCATTGCAGTAATAACGATTTTCAAATCTTCACAACTGAACAGCAAGCCTTGTTATTTTATCATTCTTGTTCAGTCCGTGATTGACTTGGCAATTGGTGTTTTAGGCATACCTCTATTTATCTTCTTTCTGACCAGCAGAATAGGAGGGATTTCAAAATGCATTACCACAAGTTTGGCCTCTCGTGCAAATATTGTACCACTCGGAGTGTCAGCTATCACAGTATCTGCTATGACATTGGAAAGATACATTGCGATTTTACATCCTTATGCTTATAGCACTCAGGTGACAAAAAGGAAACTGTTGATATATGTAGGTTGCTTTGCTGGTGTGGATTTTGTTGTTATCATTCTATCTTTTGCAATTCCTTGGCTTCTTGAGATATATGCGACGGTGAAAATCATGTTTGTTTTCTTCTTCATTGCATTTGTCTATACAAGGATATACATGGTGGTTAAAAGGTTAGCTCAATCGCAAAACAAACCACGTGACGCTGCTTCAGAAGAAAACTTGACACGATTGAAATTGTTTCTTCGAGAAATTAAACAAGCAAAATCTTGTTTTATAGTTGTCATTTGTTTTTGTGTCCTCGGATTCCTGCCACCAACGATTGCTGTTCCCTTTTTCCCAAGCCTCAATATACTTGAAGATCTAGCAATTAAAATGTGGATTATAACGCTTGCTCTGTGCAATTCCAGTGTTAACTCGCTGATATTTTTTTTGGACAAAGACGATGTTGAAAAAGGAAGCTGTGAAGATGTTAAATACCATGAGATTATGTTAAATATTACAATTGTTATCCGGCCCATGCACTGCTATAGTATGACGTCCTAGTGTTAAATTTCCAAATGTAAAATATTAACATATTCAGTTCCATTCCTTCAACATTACAGAATATTTGCATCGTTTCTCTTGATAAGTATTTTCAACGGAAATCAAACAATATAAATTCATTCATTCATTTAGTCAATAGGGTACGGAGCATTATTCTTTGTTGTTGGGGAAAGCAGACCTAAATTTTTGCTATTCAAACCTGTAGCATTAAAACGTGTATAAATATAAATAAATTACCGTAATCTGTCTAGTATAGTTAAGGAGTTACGTTTTCAACCAACTGTGACGGGGAGTGGTTTACTGGAGTGGCTTACTTGTTCATCTGTAAAATGACATCAGGATTTTGTATATAAAACAAGTTGTTCAGATTGTTGTACAGAAGATCATTAGATCTATCAAAAGATACATGTTTTTGTATAAAGTTCTTCATCTAAAAAGAGAGGCCTATTACAGGGGGGGGGGGGCTCTAAAGAGAGATTAGAGATTTAGAGTATACGTACTTATATAGGGAACTTCTTCCTTGGGCTTTGGCGTTCGTTGGACAAACTTGAGCTAATTTCTCATCCAATGGACCTTTAACCTTATAACTAAAATTTTTATCTAGACAAAAATTTCATCACAGCTTGAAAGAGCATCACAAAATTAGTAATATTCCAAAGTTTCGTTACGAAATGTTGTAAAATACGGATAATATAGCCCTGCGAAGTTTGCAATTTTCAGTCATTTTAGATTACAAACGGGAAATTGATACCCAAATCGGGTGTTTGGGCTGCCAATTTCCCGTTTGTAATCTAAAATGACTCAAAATTGCAAACTTCGCAAGGCTATATTATCCGCATTTACAACATTTCGCAACGAAACTTCGGAATATTACTAATTTTGTGATGCTCTTTAAAGCTGTGATGAAATTTTTGTCTAGATCAAAATTTTAGTTATAAGGTTAAAGGTCCATTGGGTAATCCAATTTTTGGCAATTAAATTAAGGCCCCGTTTACAGGATTCGTTTGTCACGACATCGAATTTAGCGGTTTCAGGAATAACTAGGCATAACGGTTTCTGTGGTAACTAGGCATGCGAGTGTCTCAAAAGTGCAATGGCTATAAATAGCGTGTGTTAGCTTAAACATTTGTAAGGAAGCTGTAAAACGTTTGTATGGTTTGCGCCTCGAGAAGTGCTTTACCTGCTGACGTTTACTGTACGCATATCCGATCTATTGTTGACAGCATGAGCTCCACCTTTGAATTTACTATATGAGTAAATTCTGAAATTCTTAAACACGTCCGAATTTATCATTATGATAAATTCGCGGCACATTTTGAATTTATCATAATAAATTCGCGGCACCGAACACTAACCCCAACCCCAACTCCAACCCTAACCCTAACCACTAACCCGTAACCCTAACTTTTTAAACTTTTTAAACTTTTTTGAAAATCTAACTTTTTAAACTTTTCAGTTGTTACTGCTATTTTGGAAATTAATGATTTAATATTAAAATATTAAAAAGAAACCATAAAAAACTTCGATCTTCCGAATAGAGCTGATCACAAAAATTGATCACTGAGGCCGATTGTTTGAAGACTTTCAATGAGCTTTCAAAATGTTTCGTAAATCGAAGCAAATAACTTTAGAGATAACATTGGAATGATAAATGTTAACGTTAATTTTCTTACGGCAGATTATCATGAAATAATCGACCGATAATCTTTAAATGTCCGATTAATTGGCTTTGCCAATTATTTTCCCACTAATTGGCTCATCTCTACTTTCTAATTTGTTCGACCTTCGCTTCTACAGTCAGTAGCAAGTTCTCATCTAAGAGAGGTAGGTGCCCGATCTCACTTGTGCGAGGCCATCTTTGCCAATGCATCCTAAAGAGTGCGTGCATTACCTTCAGTTGCAGAAACAAACAACGGGGAAACTGCAACGACAGGAATAACTTTAACTTCTACGCGTACACTACTGTTGATTGTGTCTATCCCTTTACTAAAATAAATAGAAATATCATAAATACTATACGAGGCTTTACTAGATGACGGTCACAAAACCTTACAGCACGAGTTTGGGGGTTTAGTAACACAATGTCCACAATGGTTGGTGCATGAACGAGTCTTCCAGCTCTGTCAACAAAGTTGGATTTCTACCTCAGCTGCAAACACAGCAGGTTTACTCTCTTATCCCATACCTGTGTTAAAAGCGGCTTTCTGATTGGTTTAGAGCAGGTGAGCTTGTCGTCGAGCTCACCTGCTTTTCGCCCGAACTCACCCGCTAAACTGCTTACGTTGCAATAACAATAACAAATATGGCGGACAAGATTTAGCCGATAAACCTAAACTTTAAAGAACTTTTTTCGGTGACTAACATACTGAGACTGAAGAAAAACCAAAGAAAAAATGCAGTAAAGGTAATGTAGACGTAGCTAAAGAAGTATTTTCTTGCCCAGTGATTTTTTTGGCCGGGAAATGTTCACAAAACATCGACGAATATATCGCGAAGAGCTACAAATGTGTGTATGGCTCGGTGTATGAGATAAAAACCAAACGTACTTGCAGGTTCGGTGAGTCCGGGATTGGACGCACCTCGGGTGGCTGGAAGTTTCCCGAACTCACCTCGCTTCGCTCGGTAAGTTCGGGAAACTTCCAGCCACCCCCGGCATGCGTCCAATCCCGGACTCACCTCCCTGCAAGTACGTTTGTTATATTGTATTACTGGCACATTGGGCCAAGAAATCATACTTTATTTTACTGTGCAGTGGTACCCAATTTGTGCAGCGATAACGTGAAGGTGAGCAGTGATATACAGTGAAAAATATGCATTGGTAACATTTGTTGAAATAAATTAATAGTGCCCACTGAAACCTTACAAGATCAAAGATTACAAACTTGACAAAAATGAACTTAAAGAGTTTCTCCCTGGGGTACACAGGGGCGGCGCTAGACCTCTTTGAATGGGGGGGGTGTAAGTGAATTTTGCCGAGTCACTACAGCCACTAATTAATATTTCTTTTCATGAAATTGAGCCCGGCTCAACTTCAAAAATTATTTTTCCGGACAACATATTTGTCAATCTTATTTTGTTCGTTCCATTTCCCCCCAATGTTTTCGTAAATATCTCCAAATTTTACCTATCATTCTTAATCAGTTTTAATCGGTGTTACTCAAATATTTTTTTTTTCTTCTTATCCAAATCTATGTTTTGCCAACTGGAATTCAATATTTTGCCGACTACCTGATGACTGGAGGTGTTCCATCTCCCCCCCTCCCCCATTTAGCGCCGGCCCTGCACACTAGTTTATTCTTAGTTGTGCTTTCAGTCAATGCAGAAGGCGTCGTCTGTAAACGTTTCCTGGATGATACCAGTGAATGATGACACGAACGGCAGAACTTAATGTCATGTTTTCGCTCGCTACTCTGTTTTTTTTATAAATGATGCAAAGCGTTCGTGAAGTCGTTTGGCCGTGAATACAATTCGACCGGGCCTTCCATTCATTTATAAAAAACAGGGTAGCGAGTGAAAACATGGCTGATATCCTGGTCGCCGTGAACTCACATGAACTAAGTAAGTTATCTTGTGGGACACCGAATGAAACAGAAGAACAACCAGAAAAATTCCGTCAATGGCAGAAAATCAAAGCGCTTACCTGGCTATACAGTAATAATCCGCAGAGTCCGACTCTGCAGTTTTACGGACAAAAAGTTTTGAAACTTTATCGTTGTTTTCAATCTTCACCCTTGTCGATAAGGACAAAATCATGCTACCATTCCTCCACTCAAAGCTCGGAAGAGATGGTCCGCTAATAGTACATGTTATCTCTAACATATCACCGGCATTTCCTCCGTACTGTATTCCCATTTGAATATCAGAAAACGCTAGACGTAAACAGAAAATGAGGCGATATGTTACACAATTGTTTGGCGAAACTCCGAAACCATTGAAAGAGTATCAACAAAGTTTCAACTCTATTTCGGAACCATCATCAAGGAAATATGATACAATATCATGTTTCGCTCGCTACTCTGGTTTAAATAAATGATTACAAAGCCCATTAAGAAGCCACGATTGTAGCTTGAAATCACCCCTGATGAAGATACTAGACTGGAGTGTCGAAACGTTGGGTCTTGATTACAATTCGATTGGGCTTTGTAATCATTTATTTAAACCAGAGTAGCGAGCGAACGAACAGTGAACGAGCAAACTTTAAATGATACAATATATTCACGAGAAAAAACAACACTGGACAACAGAAAGTTGACTCAAGGTTTATGACTATGCGAGATTGCGAGTTCAAATCCTGCTTGAGCCAACTTTATGTTGACAACGCAGTGTTGGGTCCCATGAATATATTATATCATGTTTCCAAGATGATGGCTCTGAAGTAAACTTAATTCAACTAAATTTTCATGTTTCCAGGATGATGCATGACTCTGAAATTGACTTGATTCAACTAAATTTTCATGTTTCCAAGATGATGGCTCTGAAATAGACTTAATTCAACTAAGCTTCAAAGCGCACACTTCGAATTTGGAGTTACCACCTCGCTCCATGGATCCCTAAATTCTGCAGCCATATGTCTTACGTTGCACAATATTATGTTTGTGCATGATATTACTCTGAGTGTGTATCCACACCGGGCAAGCTGAAAAGTTTGCCTGACCACGGTGGGAATCGAACCCGCGACCTTTAGGATACTAGTCCAATGCTCTGCCAACTGAGCTACGAGGTCAAGTCGGTTCGAGATATTTCGGAACTGAGACTAGTTCCTTCGATATCAATGTATTCTAAGATACGATACTAGCTTTTTGTGTGCATGTGTGTGTTGGTGTTGTGTACTCAGGTGAATACGATGTTTGTGGTATTACTCTGAGTGTGCATTACCTGGTATATCCGTAGTAGTTAATGAACCAGGCACAAGTGAAAAGTTACCAAGAACGCCAGTTGTATTCATTCCCTCCAAAACCCTAGTAATTTCGTCTTCAGAACCCGGAACAAAGACCACTTCTGCATCGAAAATCACACTTCCACGCCTTTTCAGAATCGATACAATGGTTAGAACTAGCGACATACATAACTATTTAAAAATCATCGCTATCATCATATGCGAAAGTAAATGCAGCCGATTCAATTTTGGTTGTCCTTCCAAAACCTTAAACTCTGAGCACACAAGGGATGACGGTTTTTCATCTATTAGGCCCTTAAACTCAGAAAATTGCCTTTGCGGCAAGTATGTTTTCTGTTGTGAGTCTTGTATATGTCTTAGGTATTCTTGCAAACACAAATTTCAAAGTTTATGAGCCTAAATAAGCAATAACCCATCGTCACTTGCGCGCCCAGAGTTTAACGTTTAAGTTTTTGGAAAGACAACCTTAATTGATTTACTTGTATATGCAACTACTCAGCGTTGAACTCACCTCAATCTCAAGATATTGGCACCACGATATTGTGGAATATTGGAAAATTCCTTATCGAACTAAGAAAATACAGTTATATGGAATAAGATGCGGTGAAACAGCATATTTAGGAGATTTACAGCATATTTAGGAGATGAAGCTAAAACAAAGTATTTTGGAGAGGTACGCCAAAACGATTTTAAGTGTTGAACGCTTTTCATTTTTCATTGCAACATTGGCGTAGTGATTGTTGCACCAGTATCCCATTCCTCAAGAACGGTCTTGTGGTCTAAAGGACTTCATTCTGGAATGCGAAACTAGTTTGGCAGAAAAAATCAGCATCAGTTTCCTCCCTTAGTAAGGGAAAATCATTTAGAACTTACAGAGCTATCCAGTATAAAAGAATTTGAGTTTCCCCATATGGTAACACTGGACCAACAAGGGATTGGCACTTACTGGACCACAAGGAAGATCAATTTGGAACTGGCAGAGCTATCTAGCATAATGAAAGTTTTGTTCCGTTTAGCTTACAAACTAATTCCATCACACTTGTGAACTTACATTACTTCTAATTTGTCCAGAAAGCGTCTGATAATCACCAGAATTCGGATCGTTTAGTGAATTCTTAAATTCCCTGTCCTTTATTGTAAGTGTGATGGAAATAAATGCGTCTGGCAGTCCTAAATAAGGAGAAGATATAAAAGTCATAAACGGATTTTCAGATTTTGCGCTGTGGGAGTGCTGAATTAAAATTTATGGGGGGGGGGCTTGAGGAATGTGTCAAACAAATTGAAGCAACAAGCTGCAGCAAGGGCTGGGGGTACAGTTGCTAATGGGGGAAATTTTAAGATTCTTAATCTTAGTTAGTTCAAAATCCTTGTTTATATATAGTCTTCCTCAGTTCAAAATCCTTGTTTATATTTTGTCTTCCTCAGTTCAAAATCCTTGTTTATGTATAGTCTTTCTCAGTTCAAAATCCTTGTTTATATATAGTCTTCCTCAGTTCAAAATCCTTGTTTATATATAGTCTTCCTCAGTTCAAAATCGTTACTTCAGTCACATTACTGTCATTTGTTTTCTTTTTAGATTTCTGGGAGGTAGGGTTACAAATTTCTTTAGATGGGGTGAGAAAACTTTCTGGTGGTGCAAAGTGTTTTTTGAGGGTAGATGCCCCTATGGTAAAAAACATTGATGGCAGTTGTAGATCCAGCTAGTTAGGGAGATGCTGGGCAAGCTACCGAGCACACCGAACTCAGCACTGGCTAGTTGCAAAGACATTTCTAAACTATATAACTACTGTAGGGACATGGACATGTACCCCAGTAGGCCTTTTGCTTGTCTCACAGTGAAGCAAGATTTCAGATGAACTGGACCCTTTTATCTTGTTCAGTTTAGCTTACAAATTAATTCCATCACTATTGTGAACTC